CTTTTATGTCTTGGTCTTGCCTGACTGCTCTGGCTGGGACTTCCAGTACTATCTTGAATAGAAGAGGTGGGAGTGGGCCTTTTTGTTCAAGTTCTCAAGGAGAATGATTCAAGCTTTTGCCCATTTAGTATGATATTGCCTATGAATTTGTCATAGATGGCTCTCTATTATTTTAAGGTGTGTTCCTTCAATGCCTTGTCTGCTGAGGGTTTTTATTATGACGAGATGTTGGGTTTTACTGAAGATTGTTCTCTATATATTAGATGATTATGTGTTTTTTGCTTTTGATTCTGTTTATGGGGTTAATTGGATTTATTATTCTTTGTATGTTGAATAAGCCTTGCATCCCAGGAATAAAGCCTGCTTAATTGTGATGTGTTAACTTGCTGATGTGTTGCTGGGTTAAGTTTGCTGTGTTCTGTAGAGGATTTTTGCATCTGTGTTTATCAGGGATACTTGTCCAAAGTTTTCTTGTGTGTGTGTCTATGCCAGGTTTTGGTATCATGATGACAGTGGCTTCAGAGAATAAGTAAGGAAGGAGCTTTTGCTCCTCAACTTTTTGGGAATAATTTCAATAGGATTGATATCAGTTCTTCTTTGTATGTCTGGTATGATTCCATTGTGAGTGTTTCTGGTCCAGAGCATTTTTTGGTTGGTTGGTTATTACTAATTCTATTTCAGAAGTTGATATTTGTCTATTGAGGGTTTCAGTCTCCTATTGATTCAATCTTGATAGATTGTCTGCTTCCAGGAATTTATCCATTTCTTCTAGATTTTCTAATTTAGTTAAAAGAATTGTACATAGTATTTCTGAGCGTCTTTTGTATTTCTGTGGGATCAGTGGTAACATTGCCTTTGATGTTTCTGATTTTGCTTCTTGGAGTCTTCTCTTTCTTTGTTCTTTCTTTGTTCTTTGTTAGTTTAGCTAGTAGTCCATTAGTTTCATTTTATTTTTTTCAATGAGACATGTCTCTTGGTTTCATTAATCTTTTATATAAATGTTTGCATCTCGGTTTTATTAAGTCCTTTAATTATTTCTCTTTTCAAATTTTCTTCTGCTGCTTTGGGGAGTGCATTTACTGTTAGTACTTTTAGTTGTAAATTTATATTGCTGATTAATGGTCTTTCTGACTTCTTGATGAAGGCATTTAGTGCTATAAACTTTCCTCTTAACACTCCTTTGGACTGCATCCCAGAGCTTTTGGTAATCTGTTTCCCTGTTTTCATTAATTTCAAAGAATTTTTTGATTTCTGCATTAATTTCAGTTTTCACCCAGGAATGATTCTGTATTGAATTGTTTAGTTTTTATGCATTTGTATGGTTTTGAAAGATCTTTTTGGTATTTATTTCTATTTTGTGTTGCACTGTGGTCCAAGAGTGTGCTTGGTATAATTTCAATTTTTTTTAAAGTATTGAGATTTGCTTTATGACTTAGCATGTGGTCAATATTAGAATATGTTCTGTGTGCAGATGAGAAGAATGTATAGTCTATGGTTGTTGGATGGAGTTTTCTGTATATGTCTATTAGGTCTCAATGTCAAGTTTAAGTTCAGAGTTTGTTTTCTGCCTTGATGATCTGTCTAACACTGTTGGTGGGACATTGAATTCACCTACTATTATCGTGTGGTTGTTTGAGTCTTTTTGTAGGTCAAGAATAATTTGTTTATGAATGTTTGTCTTCAAATGTTGTCTGTATATATTTAGGATAGTTAAGTCTTCTTGTTGGATTGTACCCATTATCATTATGTAATGCCCTTCATTTGTCCTTGTTAGTTTTCAGTGGTTAAAAGTTTGTTTATCTGATATAAGAGTAGTGACTCCTGCTCCTTTTTTTTGTTTTCCATTTGTATAGTATATCTTACTCCACCCTTTTACTTTGAGCTTCTGTGTGTTACATGTAAGATGGATCCAATGTATGGTGGGTCTTTTTCTTTTTATCAGACTGCCACTGTCTGTCTTATAAGTGGGGACATTTAGCACATTTACATTCCTGTTTAGAATTGATATATGTGATTTTGATCCTGTTGTATTGTTCGCTGGTTGTGTATGCAGGCTGGATTGTGTAGTTGCTTTATAGTGCTTGTGAGCTATGTGCCTAAATGTGTTTTTGTTGTAGCTTATGTCATTCTTTGAATCCATATTTAGTTTTACCTTAAGGACCTCTTTTAAAGCTGGTCTAGTTAAAATGTATTCCCTTAGCATTTGCTCATCTGAGAAGAATTTAATTTCCCTTCACTTAGAAAGCTTAGTTGGCAGGATAAGAAATTCTTGGTTGGAATTTATTTTCTTTAAGAATGCTGAAATAGGCCCCTGATCTCTTCTGACTTGTAAGGCGTTTGCTGGGCCATCCTGTGCCAGCCTGATGGGGTTCCCTGTGAAACTCACCAGCCCCTTCTTTCTAGCTCCTTGGAGGGTTTTTTCTTTTACATTGACCAGGGTGAATCTGATGATTATGTGCCTTGGAGAGCGTTGTTTTATATAGTATCTTGCTGGGGTTCTCTGTTTTTCTTGGATTTGCGTGTCAACCTCTCTAGTGAGATTAGGGAGATTTTCAGGGACTATATTCTCAAATTACTTATTGTCTATTCCAAGTCCAAGTTGCTTATTGTCTTTCTTTTTCTTGCAGGAATGCCACTGGGTTGTAATTTGGCCTCTTTATGTAATCCCATATTTTGAAGCTTTTGTTCCTTTTTATTCTTTTTTTTTAAGTTTGTTTTTGTCTATTTGTTTCTGTCTGACTGAGTTGATTTGAAAGAGCAGTCTTCCAGCTCTGAGACTCTTTCCTTAATTTGGTCCCTTCTGCTGTTAATATTTCCAGTTGTAGTATAAAATTCTTGCCATGATTTTTTTAAGCTCAAAAAGTTCAATCTGGATATTTCTTAAAATGACTGTTTTGTCTTTCAGGTCTTCAGTTATTTTACTGAATTGCTTGGCTTCCTTGGATTGAGTTTCAGCTTTCTCCTGGATCTCAATAGTCTTCTTTGCAACCCAGGTAAGGAATTCAAGTATGTCATTTTAGACAATTCAGATTGGTTAAGCACCATTGCTGGCGAACTGTGGGGTTTCTTTGGAGGTAAGAGGACACTCTGGATTTTTGAATTGCGAGAGTTTTTGTGCTAATTGTTTCTCATCTGAAATTGTTGTTATTCTTTTAACTGTGGTATAAATTGAGTACAGTAAGTTGACATTCTTCCTAGAAGTTTTCAGAGGGCAAGACTCCATAGTTGGTCTTTGTTTACTGTTGAATTCTTGTCCTTGGCTTTTCAGTGGGGAGAATTAGTAAAATGTTTCTTACTGTAGTTTGGGCTGCAATCCAGTACATGGCAGTTGAGAGCAATGGGCCGTGGATAGGCTCTTACTTAGCCACATGGTTTCTTTGTATTACCTTGCATTTGCAGGTATGTTCTGTGGTTTGAGGGGGAGAGTGTTGATCTCCTCACTGGGTCCACTCTGGGCCTTAGAAGAGCCATCTCCAATCATTGGCACTGAGTGTGTGGTTTTGGTAGTTGTTAATAGGTCTTTTGGGCTATGTGGCTTTCCTGAAGAGATCTAGTAGGGAGATAGGCCACATCCTTATGAGACCAACCCTGTGGAGGGAGGAAAACTAAGGTCCCACACCAGTCTGAGAACCTGTGTGACTCACCTCTCTCAATTTCTTGAGAGTGCTGGCTCATCTCTCATTCAGGTGCTGAGCACAGATGATGGCTCAGCACTCCTAAGCCAGAAACTGTGGCCCTAGGGTGCCAGAACTTGGTCATGGCTCCCTCCTCCAGACCCTCCTCCATGTATATTGGAGGATCCAAAGGGCTCCCAGGCTGCTGGAACACACTCAGGTGTAGCAAAGCTTCCAGGCTGGGCTGTAGAGGCTGCACTGTGTACACATTCCCATGGGGTGACCAGGTTGGGGCTCTAGTATGGGCTGGCAGACAGGTGGGCTTTTAGGCAGATGTGTTCTAGTCCTGTGGGGGAAGCAGATCCGGTTCTTTCCCTGGCAGTTAGTGGGATCCAAAGCCTCTCATAGGGAAACAAATAGCCCCGCAGGGTTGGCACTTATGTCTGGGCTCCAGCGAAGCTGACCTGCACTCAAAGGTCCCGGGTTCCATGCCTGCTGCAGCTCCATTTCTGTCTAATTTCCGGGGAGATTCCCTTGCCAGTTCCCATGTCCTAGGGGATGTGGGATCCCCTGCAGCTAGGATCCCACAGGTTGTGGCAAGAGTGAGCAGTCCCCCAGTCCCTTCATTCACCCCTTCCCCAGGCACCATCTGGGTTTCTTTTTTGGAGTTTAAAATAATCCTTGTAGGAATGGTTGCACAGGTCTGTGAATATACTAAAAATTATTGAATTGTATATTTTAAGTGGGTGAATGGTGTGGTGTCTGAATTATATGTCAATAAAACTGATATTAGAGAAAAGTCACACTGTTACCAGTCTACTTATAAAGAGCATTAATTCTAGAAGTCCGCGTATAATGTGTCAATCAATAAAGACCACCCAGATGAGAAAGCAAAGGCAATCTATTCAGGGCTTTCTATAGCAGTTGAGTCAACCACCATGACTTGGTTTTGGCAGAAACTAATGAGAGAGGCAGAGATGTTGGAAAGTGTTATAGTGGAAAAAAGGGAAGTGCCGAGACCAGCTCAACCATGGAGACCCCAAGCCAGGAAGTGCTGAAGGAATTAAGAAACAGACACAGAGACAGAAAGCAAAAGGTGGGTTCAGAGTGGAGCACCAGGGGTCTCACAGCATTTCTAGCTGAAAGCCCCGAGCAGACTCTGACTCACATACATATTATTTCCAGTGACAACTTTTACAAGCGGATGCTCTGTGTTCTTTCATTGGTTAAAGATAAACTACATAACCAGGGAGCTAGTGTATGTTTATTATAGGTTAAAGGTAAACTAGAAAGCACCCTTCATGAGGGAACAAGGGAAAGAGTCACATGTCCTGTGTTCAGAGAACTCATTAATCTGGTGTGAGACATACATTGGTTACTGTTTTATAACACTTTGGGCAGTTTTCTCCTTTCCGGGCTGTCTAGGTTTTCCTTGCCGCTGCTCTCAGCAAACAATATGATTTCTCACACACATCAGAATTTGCTCTCTGATTGGAAGCTGTTGGTGTAAGGAAGCTGTAGGTAGGCTAAGTAGAAGTGGGGGATCTCATGTGGTTGACAAGGGGTTTATACTGTATCTGCCTTTCTTTGACTTGTACTAACTTGGAAGCAGGTACAAAAATTAGGGAAGCTGCAGTTATTAATCAAGTTCTGACCATTTGGGACCCATTTGTTTTTCAGGAACAAACTAACAGTTAAAAACCAAACTAACCATTTGGTCTTTTGTGATCGTTTGCTAGAAACCAAAGGATCTTTTGACATTTGACTTCCTATAAGTCTAAATGTCAGATAGCATCCTGGCTTCCTGGTCTGGTTACTGTCGATAAGGGATTTTTTCCCTAGACTGGTGGTTGCCGATTATGGGTCAAAGTTGTGTTTTTATATGTGGTCTGGCCATAGTTCATTTGTATGTTTAGCTTCTCAGTGAAAATGCTTTTAAAATTATGGAGGAATAAAAGCCATTAAAAATATGTACCCAAGAATTAATAAAATGTGAGGGTCAAATAAAATATTACATACATGGAGGGATCCACAAACTTTACTTCCTAAGTATCTTAGGAAGTGAATGGAAGATCTATTTCAATAAATCAGCAAGAAAGCAGAAGACATGACATTCGAAAAAGGTGATGGAATTCAGAAGAGCAGAACCTGAATTTCCGGGAAGAGCACGGTGTGTCAGGCTTAGAGAGCAGCTTAGAGACTAATGATGCCAGCAGGGAATTCTATGTGGAAAAGGAGGGAAGGGAGTTCCTAAAAGAGTTAATATAAAGGGCTGTTTCCAAAGAAAACAGGGATGCATAAGGGTGTAGGGAACGAAAGACAGGTACTTCAAAAAAAAAGGAATTAGCTCCTCCAGGAAAAACAAGAATATATTTAGTGTTTGTAGTTTTATTATTTTGAATGATTGTTCACAGCAGAGCCTGCCATTTTAAAGCTGCAATGATACAAACACTATTGTTTTTCAATAAAGATAAAATATAAAATAATTTCTTGCAGTTGCAGAACACATTGTACGTGTAATCATCCTTGATAAAATAAAACTAAAAGTACAGGTGACAGAAGTGGGGAGGGAGAAAGTGGGGAAAAGGTGCAGGGAAAGGCAAAGGTGCAGTTGCCATATGCATAAGACGGGAAGCCTACAGATCATGTCCATAGTGAATCAAAATTGAACAGGTTAGTTAATTTTTTTATTTTATAAAACATTTTAAAATCTGAGATTCTCTAAAGTATTTTAAAGAATGTACTTTGAATAGCCATGTACATATTTCTCTCCTGTTCTGACTTATCAAGTTTGAGATCATAGCTTACTTGCACTGATGCCTGTGTATCTTCCATTCCTTCTTCATCACAATCCATTTCTAAGTCATTGACTTTTTAATAGCCAACTCTCATGAATTCTTTTTAGTTTTGTTTTCTGACATATTTGAATCATTGGCTGTTGAGGACTCACTGTCTTAAAATCGAGAGACCTGAGCTTTCCTGTTACTACTCTCCTTTTGTTCTCTTCTTGTCTCTGTTTTTTCTCTGTTCTCTCTGATCATTGCTAAAATAGAGAGACTCTCCAAGGTTCTACTCTTGGTCTACTTCGCACACTGTAAAATTCTTTGTGCAATTTCAGCCACTCCTAAGACTTCACTCATCTTTTGTATCTCCTAAGTTAGAACTTTTTCCAGGGTTCCAGATTTGCACATTCGGTTGCTTTAAATCGAACCAAATGTATGTACTATGGGTCAGTTTATTATGGAAAAAATGATGATGATGTTTACACACACACACACACACACACTAGCTGAGGCCTCCTAAGGTAAACTAATATGTTGTGGACATCTCATCTCTCTATGGCAAAAAAAAAAAAAAAAAAAGAAAACAAACATATAATATGTAACTGCTTTGTGAAATAAAACTCATGACAGCACACCTTTATTGTTAGATGTCTGATTATTTCTAGTTATGGATTATTGTAAACAGAGCTACAAAAATGTCCTAGTTTGTTAAATATTTATGCAACTAATCTATTATTTCAATGTAATTCTATATCTAAGGTTATCTATGTCTGAAAAGTTTGATTTGTGTCTAGATTGGTCTCCATAAAGGTTTATTGACTACTATTGCCTACAGTAATATATGAATTTTTTTTTTTGTTTTCAAACCCCTACCAATACCCACTACTATCAGACTTTTTCATATTTGTCATCTGATTTCATTGTTATTTAAATTAACATGATTTACTTACTATTTAGTTGTCCCTCTTTTTGTTTTTATTACCATTTTAATTTCAATTCAGCCTTTTCTTACTCTTGCAGACATTTAAACATTAGTCTTATTAATTTGTAATTGTGAGTTATATATAACAAGTATAACAATTAAAATACCTATTACAATTCTTTCCTGCCATTTATTTGGATTTAACTTCACTCATGCTATTTAAAATTTCTAAGCAGACAACTCTGTAAACATTTTATTTAGGACATTTGAATTTAGGTTCATACTTAGCAACTCCTCCTTACTCTAGAATCATAAAAATATGTACTGCGATATTATTATAGCACTGCTCTTCTTTTTACCTACTGATTTTATTTGTTGATATTTATTTGATGTTAGAAGATGTGCTTTCCAACCTATTTTACTCCTAGATGGCTAGTCATTCTTTCAGGACTGCTTATATTTTTTCTTATTGGTTGAATTTCACTGAACCAGGTTCCTTTTGTTTTTGGCTCCACAGCCCCCCGAATCTTCCAAAGGTTCTACTGACTTTTATGCTCCTTTGCAACCTCTTCCTTTAAACCAGTTCCAAAAATTAGCAGGCAGTCCGAGGGGAAAAGGAGCTCTCAAATGTTGTCTAAATTTTAAATTTCCTGGCTGTTTTTTTTCTTCTTCTCAGATGTCGACCCGTCAAGTCTTGGCTGCCTAGGGCCGCTCTCTAATCCCTTGAAATAGATACCATTTCTATTTTGTTCATTTTTATTCTAATTGCTATTAGAGGAACAATCGTCTGTTGCAGATTGCTCCACCACGGCCAGATGTGGAAATTTGTTTTTGTTTGAGGAAACGTGCAGGCTGCATGCACAGGTTTTACTACTGGATCGGTATAAAAATGCCTATATATTCCAACTTGACTTATAATTGATAGTTTGGTTGGATATGGACATTTGCCTTGCAAATAGTTTTTTCTTCAGAATGTTAAAGGTTTCTCTTTTCTTCATGGTTGTTGTTGGGATGTCTGAAACCATTCTCTCTCCACAATTTTTGTATAAAACCTGTTTGCTCTTCCTGATGAGTTCTGGAATATTTTTCTTCTTTGCAATGTTCCAAAATTTTACAAATAAGTTATTTGTGGGCATGTATTCTCAGCTGTTTTGAATTATTTCTCTGATTTTCACCCCTCTGTTTTTCACTATTCTCTTTGGGGGAATTGCAGCTATTTGGAGCCCATTTAAGAAGGAACAAAAGTAAATTTTTTGTTCAATCTGCTATGTTTACCAGGAATTCTTGCATATTAAAGTTTCTTTCTTTATATTTTTTGTTTTTTATGATTATTTATAGATACTTTTATCATAACATAACTGATTTTTTGGTATATAATAAAATGAATTAAACCTATATTAGTTATTTCTGTCTTTTAAATTCTTCACTTGATTTCCACTTTTTACTTGATGACTTTGAATTTTCTGTGCATAAAAGTATAACAATTGAAAAATAGTTTATTCATCCTCATTATTTATAATTGTTATTTTTTTCTTGGCAAGTTGCATTAATTACACTCTGAATACAAGGTTAAATTCTAGCAATAATATTAAGCATGTTTGTCATACTCCTATTAGAATAATTCAAGTGTTTTGTTATTAAACATGATAAATTACATTTTCCAAGGAGCTTATTTTTAAGAATGAGTGTTAAATTGTTCAAATCCATTTTCAATATTTATGGAAATTATCTTTCTTTTTCTATCAGCTATTATGGAGAATTAGAAGCATATGTTTTCTAATATTAAAATACCTTAAAATTCCTAGAATGAAGCATTCTTGGTTATAGTAAACTACTTGTTTCAAAGTCTTTATTCTGTTGGCATGACAAATGCTTTCAGATTCTCCCATGTATACATTTTTTGACATTTTATTCTTTGATACATAATTATACATGTATATGAGGTACATAGTGACATTTTGATACCTATAATATATAGTCATCAGATCAGGACAAGTAGTATATCCATCATCTCAAACTGAACTCAAGAAAGAATATACTGAAAAACTCAAAGAATTGATTATTTACTTGTGTTGGGAACATTCAATATCTATTATTATTAACTGTAGTGGTCCTACAGTACTCTAAATCATTAGAGCTTACTTTAAGTGATTTGGGTTACAGTGCTTATTTTAGGGGACTATCTGTGCCAGGTTTGGGCATTTGGGCAATATCTTCTTCCAAATACCTGGAAAATTGGCTTTCTTTCTGTTTGCTCTTGAAAAATCACCAGGCCTCTGATCTCTCCTAAAAAAAAAAAAAAAAAGTGACAGGGTTTCACGATGTTGCCCAGGCTGGTCTCAAACTCCATCCGCTTAGTCCTCCCAAAGTGTTGGGACTGTAGGCATGAGCCACGGCACCCGGCGCCTGTGTCTGATGTCTGATCTTGATATTGATGGGAGAAACAAGTCACGTAAAAAGGCCAGGCATGGTGGCTCACACCTGTAATCCCAGCACTCTGGGAGGCAGAGGTGGGTGGATCAGCCTGGTGACAAGAGAAAAATTCACTCTCAAAAAAAAAAAAAATGTCATGTCAAAAATGACCTTTGCCTATAAGGAACAAACGTAGACCCTCAGGAGAAATTAAATAACAGAACAAGGTGCCCTATGATTATGTACAAATAAGTAGTTTAGAGTAAGAAAAAAAAAAGAAAAATAAAACTTTCTTCCTTGATTCATTAACCTAAAATATTACTGGTTCACTAGGTAAGGTGAAGAAATTATCACATTCTATTTGGCTATATCTTGTCCTCCCTTCCTTCATCGCTCATCTTTTG